AGCTGCAATTTCCCAACCTTGGTGGTAAAGGTGAAGGTACTTCCTTCCAGCACAGTGAGGCTGTCTTTCACGTGGGAGTTCCATCTCTGCTTCTAAGAAGCATGAAGAGAACTGGTTTTGTAGCCTTAGCTAACAGAGTGCTGGGTGAGGATGTGGGAAGCCCTGGGATCCACTGGGAATGGCAGTGTAGGCCTGTATTCTTAGCACTTGGAAGGTGGAGGCAGGAGGATCACAAGTTCAAGGTCATCCTCAGCTACAGAGCAAGTCTGAGGTAAGCCTGAGCTACAGGAGACTCTGTTTCAAAAACAAAACAACCATTAACAAAAAAAGAAGAAAGAAAGAATGAAAGAAAGGAAGGAAGGGAGAGAGAAAGGGAGGGAGGGAGGGAGGGAGGGAGAGAGGGAGAGAGAGAGGGAGGGAGGGAGAGAGAGAGGGAGAGAGAGAGGGAGGGAGGGAAAAGAAGAGAAAAGAAAAGAAAAACAAGAAATGAGCCAAGATGACCTTCCACCCATTAAATTTAGGCAACAAAATTCCATCTTACATCTTAGTAGCTGAGACAAATATTTAAGACATAGAAGGAAAGTACTGGCCGGAAATGGTGGCACATGCCTTCAGTCTCAACATGGGAGGCAGAGGCAGATGGATCTCTGTGAGTTCTGGGCCACCCTGTTCTGCATGGTGAATTCCAGACCATCCAGGGCTACAAAATGAGACCATGTCTAAAAAACAAAAGCAAAAAAGTATCTACTATTGGATAGATGTGGGCACACGTGCACACACACACACACACACACACACACAGAGAGAGAGAGAGAGAGAGAGAGAGAGAGAGAGAGAGGAACAAAGGGGAGGGAGGCAAATATGGTCTTAGAATCTAGAGGGACAGGAGGGAACCACAGCTACTGGCTGGGCCCAGGTTCCAAAGGAGGGAAGAGGGAAGAAATTCCTGACTTGATGTTCCCTCCCATGAGCTGGTGCCTCCACAGGCCAGGTGTGGCAGAACCCAGGTAACCCAGAGCCCAGAATCCTACAGGGACACAGAACAAATGGGCAGGGCCAACAGTGGGCAGCCAGTGAAGGGAGACATGCCATGCAGGGTCTTGTCTGTTTTGTCCATTTGCCCTTTGGAGTCAGGTGCCTCCTGAAGCAAGAGCGTGAGGTGGGGAACCTCCTTGCTGCAGAAGAAGCCTCCCTACGGGAGGAATGTCCATCAGGCTTTGCCTGGGCTCCAGGATCGTGCCCTTGAACCCCATTCCAGCACCAAGCATGAGCCCCTGCTCAGATCTCAGGTTGAGAATCTGTCCTAGAGTTTCCCTCTCTCTCTCTCTTCACACTCTATCAAGTATCTAGAGGGGCAAAGCTCATGAACTCGGCCCCTTTATTCCTCTGGGTTGCCATTAGCAGGTCCAAAGCAGGAAGGTCATTGCTTTTTTTGGGGGGGGGATTTCCACACGCCTGCCACCCTCCACACCCAGAACTTCCTTCTATCCCTAGCACTTACCACTGTGGCATAACCCATAAACCCTTGGAGGTCCTTCCTGTACCCCTCCAGGCCAAGTATCTATTAGTATCTGTTCTCCCAGAATGTCTGTCTCCCAGGGGACCCCAAAAGAGACAGCTACTGTAGATGATTAATAGGGTTTTTTGTTGTTCTTTTGTTTTGTTTTGTTTTGTTTTTTGAGACAGGGTTTCTCTGTGTCGCCCTAGCAGTCCTGGAACTCACCCTGTAGACCAGGCTGGCCTTGAACTCAGAGATCAGCCCACCTCTGCCTCCTAATTGCTGGGATTAAAGGTGTGTGCCACCACCACCTGGCAGATTATTATTATTATTATTATTACTATTATTATTTTATTTAAGACAAAGTCTCTCAGGGCTAGGAATGTAGTTCAGCTGGTAGGATTCTTGCCTATCCTGACAAAGCCCTAGGTTCAGTTGCTAGCACAACATAAAACTTGGTTTGGTGGTGGAATCCTAGCACTCTGGAGATAGAGAAAAGTGGAGCAGAAGTTTAAAGTCCTCCTCAGTTGCGTAATAAGTTCCAGGGCAGCCTGGGATACATGAGAATGTCTTTAAAAAGAAAACTCTTAAGAAGAGTCCTACTATGTATCCAGGGCTGGCCTTGAACTCATGTCTTCCTGCACCAGGTTGCTATAGTTTTTGATGGATGGGTGGATACTTGAAAGAGGGGTTGGACTGCCTACCTCTGCCTATGTAGAGGGAGGGGAGTGCCCTGGGCTGAGGAGGAGGGGACAGGGGGAAGCCTCTTCCCCATTTGTGTCATAGGAAGAAGCTCCAGCCATGCAAGATGGGACTAGGATCCAGTGCTCCTTTCTGCAGTTTTGGGTACCCTACGACATAAGATATGCTTGGAGGGGACTGAGGGGGCAATATGGTAATGAGGGGAGAGGTAGGCCTATCTTGGTCTCTACCCTTCCAAGAGGACCAGGACAGCAAGGCAGGGTGGATCCCTGGGCCCCAAGCCAGAAGTACCAGCTTAGGGACCTGGCCCTGTCTGGCTCCAGCCTGGCTGCCCCTTCCCAGGCTGTCAATCTCCCTCGACAGGTTCTAGGATTAGGTTTGCTTGTTCAAACCACCCGCCCTCCCATCCTGGAAGGTCTGAGGCCCCAGGATGTCATAACCCAGCCAAGCTACACTGCCAAAGCCATCTGGGTCCACTTAGGCCTGTGGTGTGGGGGCCAGAGGCACCCTGGCCTGTGAGATTCTCAGTGGGGGCTAGCAAGGGGGTGTCCCAAGGCTCTTGGGGGCCTTCTGGGCCAGACCTCCACACGATGGCAGCATGCTTGCACTGAACCCTCTGGTCTGCTTGGCTGGGCCTGGACCCAGCACCGCCCTGGGCTCTCTGGCCTGCTCCCCGCTTCTGGAGGCATGGTTTCTGCACTCTGGAAAAGACGGTGCCTCTCACCAGTCCCTTGCTTCCACAAGGACCTTTTAGGCTCACGTCTTTCCTGGGAAACCCATCCAAGGGAGAGCCTCACCTCTCCGCCTGTGGCTGTTCCTCCCCACCCCCTGCTTCAGCAGGTAGGAAGGCACAGGCGTGAGTGCCTGGTGCCTTTGGGGCCTCGTGTGAGTGGTGTGTTCTCCACATCACAGATGGCCTCTCCAAAGCCCAGCCTGGCTCAATGGTCCCCTGCTGTGGCTGAGGACGCTGTTGAGAGCTATGCAGAGCACAAGGGTCTTATGCCGTTTGCTGGAGGGTAGTCTGGGGAATCTGAATAAGGAACATGGCTGTTCCAGATCTACCTGCTGAGCAGAGATACCCCTGAAGACAGTGGAGGGGAAACTAAAACTTCCCTGCTCCCTAGCCTCCAAATCTGCCCCGAGAAGAACAAACAAGGCCTATCGTCTCCTGACCCTACTTCTTATCTTTTCCTCTCTCTCCACCAGCTTCAATAGCTTCTCCTCATGTCCCTAACAGTGACGTGTCCCCCCACAGTCTACCCTCTTTGTTTGTCCACCTCTGTTCCCTGCAGGTTTCCCCTGCCCTCCAAATTCTCTCTCTTCTGCTGTGAGCTTCATTACATCGCTAAAGACTCAGGCTCCAGCCAGAACCTTCTGTAGACTTGGCCTTTTTTTAAATGTTTTTTTTTTTTTTTTTTTTTTTTTTTTTAATGAGAGAGAACACTTAGCTTTCTGGGTAGGCATCAAACTGGACCAAGTGGCTATTAGGATTTCATAGGGCTTAGTGGGTTCCACTGAACATTAGCCTAGGTTTAGGCGCAAAGGCATTCGTGAGGACATGGGCTCTGTGTCTCTAGCTAGCAGTAAATAGACAGGCAAGAGGGAATCCCACCAACACCTTATCCGCCCAGGCTGTCCCCTCCATAGCCATCAGGGGCAGTCCACCCCTCAAGAGCAGTGTGCTCAGCTGGAAGAGGCTTCAACCTGGGGATAGGGGGCAGTGCCTAGAAAGGCTTCAGAACGCATTTTTGTTGTTGCTGTTTTTAACTCAATATTATTCTTTTGGCTATTTTTCTCTCTACTTACAGAGCTCTATAGAATCTTGGAAAATCCAGGCAAGTACAAAAAAGAAAACAACATTCATAAAAACCCATACTGTGAGCTGGGGATATAGTGCCACAGTAGGGTGTGCTAGGTTTGATCTCAGCATGAAAAAATGAAGAAACAATAAACAAAAAAATCTCTGACTTTTTCACTACTTCAAGATAACCATGACTAACAATTTTAGCATATTTCCTTCACATATTTTTGCAAGTAGAGTTTCACATACACTGTGTGTGTTTGTGTGTGCATGTGTGCATGTGTGCGTGTGCATGTGTGCGCGCG